TTTAAAAAAATATTAAAATACTTAGGTATCTTAAAAACAAACTTATGTCTAACAAACCTGATCGGCATTTTCATTACCTAAATTATAATTAATTAATATGTATATCACAAAAGAATATGTTATAATTTAAATATTGAGCGATACAAAGTGTTAACATTTAGTAGTGGGTTTAAAAAAAAAAAAACAATTCGTATCCAAGACAAAAAGTGTTAATTTAATAACCAAACTAAGGTTAACCGGAACTTTCAATTTAGTTTTTTTGTTTTTGTTTTGTATTTTTTTTTTTAATTTTTGTAGTCTTAGTCTTTACGTCTAACATTAGTGGCAACATGTAAATCACACATTTTTATTACTTTTTTTTAATTACATATCAAAAAAGCCGGTTTGATTATTTATTGCAAAAATGAATAATAAGTTCAGCATCGTTTAATCGATAAAGTTGTTTGTTGGGTCTATGCGGTACGCATGCGTATTGGTAAACAGAATAGTAAACAACAACAACAACAAAGCAAATGTAATCTCTGAACACAAGACAATGTTCAGCAGTAACATTTTTGTAACGACCAACAAGAACGATCACATTGGCGGAGCAGAACAACAAAAAAAAAAAAAGGTTAATGGTCAACGACAGATCATTCAACTCTGAAGATGAACTCCAAAGAACAACAACAATGCCAACAAACAATCATGCAACAATAGGCCATGGCAAAAAAAAACAAGGATCCAAACATGAAGTAACAATCATCCAAAGAGAGAGGGAGATAGAGAGAGTTGCATGGATGCTAGACCCTTGGGAACTGTTTACAGATCACTAGGAGTTTTTGTTTTGTTTTCCCTCTTAGAACAAGAAACAAGTATTATAACAACAAGAACAACAACAAACTAAATGAAAGAAAAACCAAAACAAAACAGCAACAACAACATCAATAAGGCCAAAAGCTCAAGAAGTTTAATAACCACAATTGGCTATTTTTATAACAAAATAGCAACAACAACAACAAAGATAACAAATCATGCATGCAACCAACAACTATCAATGTTTAGGCCATGAAAAAAGCATAGAAGAGGAGGAGAAGAGCAGAGGAAGCAAAGAAGATAGAGCAGAGCATAGAAAAAAGCATCAAGAGATGGAGTAATGTTGCCGATACTGATGCTGCTGAGGATGATGATGTTGTTGGTGATCATCAAAATGCTGTTGTGTTCTGTTCTGTATTTTTTAGACGTTGTGCGGAGTGTGGACAAAAATAGAAATGACCACACAAAAGGAAGAATGAAGAAATTCAATGTAAGAAGATCGATGTCGTATGCAAGAAGATAGCTGAGGAAAAGCAAGAGGATAAAAGCCATGAGACAAAAGAGTCAATTATGTGGATATGGTGCCCACATTATGTGGATAAAATGGATAAAATCTGAACATATGGATAATTTATTTATTTACTCAATTTGGATAATATGGGAGAATATTTCACAATTTTTTGGATAACGTGGATACAAGTTGTCAATGGAAAAATATACCAAATCTTTAAGAAAAAATATAATTAACAATGTGGATAAAAAAATGCGGATAACGCGGATAAGCATTACACACCACTATCCGAATACAATTATATGCGGATAATGTAAATATATTTTTTTACTCAATTAGTATTACTCAGATAGTGATTTCAGAATTTTTTGGATAATGCAGATAAAAATTTGGATACCATGTATAAGTATTTCACATCTTCCAAATCATGTCAATTAATCATTTACAACATGGATAATATTATTCACATTGTAAATAACTAATTTGGATAATGTGGATAAACATTCAAACCCCTTTGGATAATGCGGATAAACCACTTATCACATTTGAAAAATTTGGATAAGCAATATAAATCATTATACAACATATCTGGAACATTTGGATAACGCGGATAACCATTATACATAATTTGGATAATGCGGATAACAATTTCATATATGTGGGATAACGCGGATAAATTTTCTACTTTATTTGGAGCGCTTGCTTTCGTTTGGACAACGCGGATAAACATTTCTCTTTAATTTAAAAGCACGGATAAACGTTCTACGTCATTTGGATCTGCAATTGCAATTGGATAATGTGGATAAACATTATGGCTCATTTGAAAAAGTGTGGATAACGATTCCACATAAATTGGATAAAATGGATGACCATTTCACATAATTTATATAACGTGGATAAGCACAGATAAACTTAGATACATGGGATAAGTTGTTTATTTTATTTGGATAATGTGGATAACGATTAAACATCATTTGGATTTCTCTTTAATTTAAAAGCACGGATAAACGTTCTGCGTCATTTGGATCCGCAATTGCAATTGGATAATGTGGATAAGCAATATGGCTCATTTGGCACAAAAGTGTGGATAACGATTCCACATAAATTGAATCACATGGATGACCATTTCACATAATTTATATAACGTGGATAAGCACGGATAAACTTACATGGGATAAATTGTTTATTTTATTTGGATAATGTGGATAACCATTGAAAAGCATTTGGATAACGTGGAAACGTATTTCAGGGGTGGATAAAATATTCACATATTTTGGATAACTCGGATAAACGATCTAAATCCTTTGGATAACGAAGATAAACATTTCCCATCATTTATATAAACTGGATAGGCAATAACATATATTTAAAACTGTGGATAAGCATTCCGCTTCAATTGGATAACACGGATAACAACTTCACATTATTTGGGTAACGCGGATAAATGTTATTTTTTATTAGATAATGTGGATAAGAGTTACCCACTATTTGGATAACGCCGATAAAGATTGTACTTCACTTCAAGAGATTAGATAATGTAGATAAAAATATGTTCTTTGCTTGGATAAAATGTATAAGAACTGCACATAATTGTGATAATGTGGGCAAGCAATAGTGAGAATATTATCTATGCTATGTTATCTATCATATTTTAACAACAAAACGAATTTATCTATAACATTTATATTTTGCGGATAAGTTATCTAAATTTTTCGGATAAAGTGGATAAGTTATCTATGATGTTTGGATGATCTGGAATTAATTATCTAAGAGTTTTGGAAAATGTGGGTAAATTATCTATGAAATTTGGTTAAATTAGATACATTATCTATGATATTTCAATAAGATGGGTAAATTATCTAAGAAATTTGGATAAGTTAGATACTATATATATATGATATTTGGTTAATGCAGATGCATTATCTATCGTTTTTAGATTATTTCAATAAGTATCTTTGGTATTTTGATAATGTAAATATGATATCTACAATGTCTGAATAATGTAGATAAATTATCTATGATGTTTGAATAGCGAAGATAATTCATATTTAATGTTTATATAAGGTGGATAAATTATCTACCGAGGTTAGATGACGTAAATAAGTATTATTCGATGTTTGCATCATAGATAAACTATTTACGAGTGGATAAGTCATCTATGAAGTTCAGACAATATGTGAAAAATATCTACAATATTTGAATAACGTGGATAATTTATCTACAATGTTTGTATAATGTGGATAGATTATCTACGATGTTTTGATAAATTGAATAAGTTATCTTCGATGTTTGGAAAATGTGGATAAATTATCGATGATGTGTTGATAACGTCGAGAAGTTATGTGTCGAGTTTGGATAACGTAGATAATCTATGCACGACATTTAGCTAATATGTATAGATTATATAAGTCATTTCGGTAACGAAGTCTGGATATTGCAGATATATTATCTATGGAAGTATGTTATCTACAATATTTATATAACATAGATAAGCTGCATCCGATATCAGGATAATTTGAATATATTATCTATGATATTTGCGCGTGAGATATTTACTTTTGATATAGTAGATAAGATATCTATGACATTTTGATAACGTGGATAAGCTATACAATATATTTGGATAACGCGGATAAGTTATCTATGATATTTTGTTAGCATAGATAAGTTATATGTGATATTAGCATAATAATCCATGATATTTGATTATCGCTGATATGTTATCTATGATATTACATGAGCAGATGCTATATTTTTTTTTTGGTTTCCGTGGATATGTTATCTACGATTTTTACACAACATGGATAACTTATCTATAATATTTAGATAGCATGGATAAGTTATCTCCGACATTTTAAAGATGTGAATTAATTATCTGTGGCATTCAAAATAGCTTGGATAAATTATTTACGATATTTAGAAATCGTGGATAAACTATCTGGAACATTTTGATGGCCAGAATAAGTTATCTATGATATTTGGATAACATGGATAATTTATCTACACGAATAATGGGGCTATCCTCGTTATTTAGATGTGTTTTATAATGCGAACAAATGTTAAAAAAAATAGGATAAATTATCTATGATATTTAGAAATAATGGATACGTTATCTGGAACATTTAGGTGGCCAGGATAAGTTATCTACGATATTTGAATAACATGGATAATTTATCTACGAGGGTACAAGGATTATCCTCGTTATTTTGATGTGGTTTATAATGCGAACAAAAGTTAAAAAATGTGGATAAATTATCTATGATATTTAGAAATCGTGGATATGTTATCTGGAACATTTTTAAGGTCACGATAAGTTATCTACGATATTTAGATAACTTGGATAATTTATCTGCAAGAATACTGGGGTTATCTTAGTTATTTAGATGTATTTTATAATGGGAAAAAAATTTATCCAAGTTTTTAGGACCTTCTGAGAAACTTCACCATATATCCAAGAGAGTAAAAAGATGATTGTATTCTCAGAGCAAAAGAAGCGGTTAGACAGAGAGAGCATGCCAGCCAGCCAGGCAGTCAAGTCAAGCAAAGAATTAATGCAAACAACAATGAATTTATAGAACATATCGAAATGTGGAGCGGAAGGTTAGAGAGAGAGAAAGTGTGAGTGCACGAAAGAGAGTGGGAGAAAAACATTTGCAACGATTCGAACATTGAAAAAAAGTGTTTAGATCTGTACCGTGGCATTGTGGGCGTGTGAAAATCGTCTCAAATGGAAATTGAATTGACTGAAACGCCGACCAGGACTTGTCGGTATATCCGAATCATGTAACTTCTGACCATTACTATCACAATTATTATTATCGATGGCTGGATCAATTTGAACAATAAGACGAGGCAGGGATGAATGTGGCGACAATTCCGATACGGGATGATGATGCTTCCCAGTTGGTGAGTGGTGGTGATGTTGGAGAAGATGGAAATTTAATAACGACGATCTATGGGTAATATTCTTTGTTTCTTCATCCGTTACTGCTGGTGCTGCCGCCGGAGGAGAAGATTTATTTTTACGTTCGACAACATCTTCTTCATCTTCCTCCTCATCGTCCGTGTGAAACAAAGGTAAATGCAGGGTATGTATGTCACGATGGCCCGTCTGGTGAAGACCTCGGACGAGGGCACTAATCGTCGGTGCATTATAGCTGCGAGCTGTATCGCTATGTGGAACATGACCACTACGCACTTTATGAATGGATGGTGGTAATACCGCAGCAGAATCTGTTTTACCTTTCACATTTGGGGATGAGGAGTGCAGGTCTTCCTCTTCTTTCTGTTGTTGTTTTGGGGATTTTGGGTTATTCGCATCATCATCATTCTTCTTCATGTCTGGTCGGCGGTGATTAATAATATTTAATTTTTCGGATTATGAAGTTGTTGTTTGGTTTTGTGTGTGTGTCTTTTATTGTTTCGTTGCTGAATTTTGATTGGTATTAATTGTGGTTCGATTGCTTGGTAGGTTGATCAGTTGGTTCTTTATGAAGGTGTTGTCACCGTCCTGCAGTGCAGAAGAAATTTAGTTGGCAGTAGTGGTGGTGGTGATGGTGATGTCCCATAAACTGTCATCTGTTTTTTTGTTGCCAGATAAAGAAAGGATGCATTGTTTATGGCCAATGTTGGTGTATAAGCGGCGAAGAGAAGTGTTACGCCGAACAAGAAAGAAAGAAAAAAAAGAGCAAGAAGAAGATGAAGAAATTGAAGACACGATTTCATTTTCAGTTTTTTAGTTGGTGGGGTTATTTTTAGTTTTGCACGAAATACCAACAACGGAACAAGGGAATTCAAATCTTCTTTGTAAACTCAAAATTTCGATACAAATTGAAATTTGTGGTATTGTTTCAGCAAAGAAGTAGAAGAAGACAAGAAACGTACGCACATAAACACTGAGAGAATAATTGAAGGTAATTAATAAAATTGTGTTAATTTGTATTGTAATTTAATTTAGTATTCTAATTAGGGGGATAAATTATCGGCAAACCTGCTGACAACAAATATAAATGATATACAAATTTTTTTGAGATGTAAATTAGATTTCTACAATCAATGGATAAGTTATCTAAGATATTTAAAATAAATTATTTGCGCGGATAACTTATCTAAGATATTTTCATAATTTAGATACAACTTTTACAACCTTTTAAAAGCATGGATATATTATCTACAATATTTAGATAACACGGATAAGTTATCTATGGCATTAAAATAACACAGATAATTTATCTATGATATTTGGGTAATGTTGAAATGTCTTTGGGATGTGAATAAGATATTTATAGTAAAGTGAATAAATTATCTACGACTTGCGGATATAGTGGATAAGTTATCTATGATAATTGGATAAGGTATATATTAGTTATAAATGGCATATAAATAATGTTGATAAGTTATCTATCAGATTTGGATACTGTGGATAAGTTATCTATGATATTTCGATAAGGTGGATAAGTTATCTATATTTATATAACACGGATATGTTATCTAAGACACTTAGATAAATTATGAACAATATTTAGATAATATACATTAGTTATTTATGACATTTAGATAACAGGGATAAGTTATCTACGATATTTTGAATAAGCTATCTACGTGAATAACTTATCTACGATGTTTGCATAATGTAAATAAAATTTCTACGACATTTGGAAAACGTGGATATGTTATCTATGATATTTAGATAACGCTGATATGTTATCTATGACATTAAGATAGCATGGATTAATTATCTCTTATATTTGGATAAGGTAGATAAGTTATTTATTATGTGGATAAGGTATCTATTGTATTTGGATAACGTGGATAAATTATCTATGATATTTAGATAACATTTATAAATAACTTCTGGTATTTGGATAACGTGGATAGGTTATCTATGAATTTTTGGGTTAAGTGGATAATTTATCTAAGATATTTGAATAAGCTATCTACGTGAATAATTTATCTACGATACTTGAATAATGTAAATAAAACTTCTACGACATTTGGAAAGTGTTTATATGTTATCTATGATATTTAGATAACGCCGATATGTTATCTATGACATTAAGATAGCATGGATAAATTATCTATCATATTTGGATAACGTAGATAAGTTATTTATTACATGGATAAGTTATCTATTGTATTAGGATAACGTGGATAAATTATCTATGATATTTAGATAAAGTATATAAATAACTTATGGTATTTGGATAACGTGGATAGGTTATATATGAATTTTGGGTGAAGTGGATACGTTATCTAGGACATTTAAATATTGTGGATAAATTGTCTATGATATTTGGATAACGCAGATAAGTTATTTATTATATATATATATATATAACGTGGACAAATTATCTATGATATTTAGATAACGTATTTAAATTACTTATGATATTTGGATAACGTGGATACGTTATCTATGAATTTTGGGTGACGTGGATACGTTATCTATTACATTAAGATATCATGGATAAATTATGTATGATATTTGGATAACGCAGATTTGGAAAACGGGGATAAATTATCTATGATATTTAGATAACGTATATAAAAAACTTATGGTATTTGGATAACGTGGATAGGTTATCTATGAATTTTGGGTGAAGTGGATACGTTATCTAGGACATTTAAATATTGTGGATAAATTATCTATGATATTTGGATAACGTAGATAAATTATTTATTACGTGGATAAGTTATCTATGATATTTGGATAACACCAATATATTATCTAAGGAGTATATTCAACGTGATAGGTTATCTATGACATTTAGCTCAATTATCTGCGATATTTACATAATATGCATCAGTTATCTATGACACTTAGATACCTTGGAAAAGTTATCTACGATATTTGAACATCGTTATCTAGGATATTTAGATAACTCGAATAATTTATCTATAATATTTTGCTAAGAAATATAAATTACCTTTGACATTTAGATAATGTAGAGAAGTCATTTATTATCCTTAGATAAACAAAAGTTGGATAACGTGGATAAGTTATCTACGGCATTAAAATAACATGAACAATTTATCTATGGTGTTTGAATAAAGTGTATACGTTATCTACGACATTCATTTAGGTTGTCTCTGACATTTAGATAACTTGGGTAATTTGTCTACGATATTTCCTTTCTATAGAAAAGTATATCCTCACTTCCGAATGAAATTTTTTTCTATAGAAAAAAGTCTTCCTCAGGTTCCTGACGAATTTTTTTCTATAGAAAAAAGTCTTCCTCAGGTTCCTGACGAATTTTTTTCTATAGAAAAAAGTCTTCCTCAGGTTCCTGACGAAAGTCTTCCTCAGGTTCCTGACGAAATTTTTTTCTATAGAAAAAAATCGTTCCTCAGGTTCCTGACGAAATTTTTTTCTATAGAAAAAAATCATTCCTCAGGTTCCTGACGAAATTTTTTCTATAGAAAAAAGTCTTCCTCAGGTTCCTGACGAAATTTTTTCTATAGAAAAAAGTCTTCCTCAGGTTACTGATGAAATTTTTTTTCTATAGAAAAAAATCTTCCTCCGATTCTACAGAAAAAAAATCTTCCTCAGGTTCCTGACGAAATTTTTTTCTAAAGAAAAAAAAAACTTCCTCAGGTTCCTGGCGAAATTTTTTTATAGAAAAAAGTCTTCCTCAGGTTCCTGACGAAATTTTTTCTATAGAAAAAAGTCTTCCTCAAATCCTAATGAAATTTTTTTCTATAGAAAAAAATCGTTCCTCAGGTTCCTGACGAATTTTTTTTATAGAAAAAAATCTTCCTCCGATTCTATAGAAAAAAATCTTCCTCCGATTCTACAGAAAACAAATCTTCCTCAGGTTCCTGACGAAATTTTTTTCTAAAGAAAAAAACTTCCTCAGGTTCCTGACGAAATTTTTTTCTAAAGAAAAAAACTTCCTCAGGTTCCTGGCGAAATTTTTTATAGAAAACAGTCTTCCTCAGGTTCCTGACGAATTTTTTTCTATAGAAAAACATCTTCCTCAGGTTCCTGACGAAATTTTTTCTATAGAAAAAAGTCTTCCTCAGGTTACTGATGAAATTTTTTCTATAGAAAAAAAATCTTCCTCAGGTTCTTGACGAATTTTTTTCAATAGGAAAAAATCTTCCTCAGGTTCCTGAAGGAATTTTTTTCTATAGAAAAAAATCTTCCTCAGGTTCCTGACGAATTTTTTTCTATAGAAAAAATCGTTCCTCAGGTTCCTGACGAATTTTTTTTCTATAGAAAAAAGTCTTCCTCAGTTCCTGAGCAATATTTTTCTATAGAAAAAAACCTTACTCAGTTCAAATTTTATTCTCAGTTTTCGAGCAACATTTTTGTTCTATAAAAATTATATCTTTAGATACATTATCCACCAATTTTTGTAGCCCTATCAGCAGATAAATTTATCCACCCATTTCAATATTAGTTATTATAAAAAATATTCAAATCTTTCTCTCAGTGTTGTATTGAATTATTAGCCATTGTTATTTACTTTTTTTTGAACTCAACATAGAGCATTTCCAAAACACTCTGAAATCTTACTTCGAAAAATATTGCCAACTCTTTAACCATCCTTTAAAAAGTTGAATAACCCCTTCGATCGCTGCGAAAAAAAGTGAACTGCAAAATATTTTTAAAATCACATAGAGGGAGGTGGTAGGAGAATTAATTTAGTCATCATCAGCCGATATCCTACCTCAACATAGAATGCGAGAAGATATGACCAAAAAATCGAAATAAATAATTCATGCTATGACTTTGATGGTGGGGGAGGCAGGTTTTGAATTGATAATGAAGATAAATGCAAAAACAAAATATTTTATTAAAAAATTATC